TAAAGCGGGATCAAATAATTCACCCCCTTTTTTTTTCTAAAATCCAAAGGCACAAGCTGTTTTGGACTGTCCCCACGCTGATGCCWGCAACGACCTGCTCTCTCTACTGTACGTCCACTAAGGAGAATGTTGTGCATATTTCATCATTGCTTCGCCGTCTAATTAGGTCAGCGTGATCCCCTCATTCCCATGGCAACCAAAGTGTAGTAAGAGAGCAAGAGAGAGAGAGAAAGAGAAAGAGAGAGTGTCGGAAAAAGAGAAAGAGAGGGGGATTGTAAGTGACTGAGCCTGTTGTTAAATGATGCAGGGGTGTCTGTGCGTGGGTGTTTCTCAGGGAACAAGAGAAAGGAAGCAGTGGAGTTAATTTTTTTCAGCACTTTCTAATCAATGAAGGAACTAACGCTGCAAGTTTATTCAGTTTAAACGGAAACATTTCGTCTGCAAATCCCTTAGTTAAGTGAACACCAAGATAGCAGACAAATCATCTAAAGCTATTTTTTAAACCAGATCTCAGGTTTTTGTAAAAGCAGCCTTGTGTCTGCAGCAAGTTCAATAATCTTGAAAAAAACGCAAATTGCTTTTTCGTGTCATTAAGATTGCTTTATTTACTGTATTGATGTCAAACCGGTGTTGTATTGAACAGTGGGGTCGGGACCCACAATGGGGTCCCAAAAACATCAAGGTGGGGTCCTGAAAAAGATTTTCTGAATTAATTATATTAGAAAAAAACAACTAACATCTTCATTTTTGCCTTTGTTCTTACAAAAGAGTAAGGTTAGTGGACTTAAAATGGACAAAAATAACATAATGAGAATTGTTACTACACTCTAAAAATGAAATGTTGGATTTACTTAACCATGTAAACTCAAAGCAACATACTCATGTTCTTTGGTTAAAAACTGGTATACTGAWATTTCTCAACTCAGTTAAGTGGAACCAGGTAACATAACATGGTTAAGTAAATCCAACATTTCATTTTTTTAAAGTGTGTGTCTTTTATTATTTATGTCTCCTTTTTTTTTACGTTAAAACAATTTTTATGATCCAGCAACAGTTGAGGGCTCAGGTCTCTGCTGGTATTTTGAGGGTTGAAGGCTGAAAAGTTTGGGAACCACTGGTACAAAGTACCACAAAGTGATACTTGAGTAAAAGTACAAA